GTTAGCAAACATTTACACAAACCATACCACACTTTTGCCTAATACTATCTCCCAGTATGTCTCATGCACTCAATATTGAGTTTTTAATATATAATATGATTCGTACTTCACGTCAATTTCGGTTATATTTTTCTATTTAGGCGTTCAATAGACATGAAACCAATATTTTCTCATCACACAAATTTTATTAAACTTTCCCGTAAAAATGCCTCACATTTTATTTACTAGTTAGTATTGAGTAGTGTTTTATATGGGAATAATTTTTAAAAAATATTTCTATCTACTGTATATACGGTACTTAATTTTTAAAAATAAACATTTAATACATTTTTAAATCGATAGAAGAATTAAGTATGAAATTAATGAAATACTTATGGCATCAGAGGTTTGAGATAAACAGTAATTCATTACTCAATATTATGTCTAAACAAACACTAGGCTAAGAGGTTTGCATAAGTTTTTATTGTAAGGCAAATAAATACAAATATAAATCGATTTATAATGGTATTGAAAAATATTTAATACGTGAGGCAATTGAGTGTAAAATATGGGAATATTTTGTGCGAGATGTGATTTATAATTTAGTATTATATATTTACTATAATAAAGTATGATATGTGTTGTAAACTATTATATAAATCCATATAAACTTCATTCAATAAGACATTGCTTTAAAAACATATTAGATTTGTTTCCCTTATTATTAATTCACTTCTCTTTTATCGAGTTTTCGTCTCTAAAAGAGTATAACTTTTTACTACTCTTTTTGAAAGCGAACTCAAAATTTATATATATTTTCTCGAAGAGTGGCTCAGAATTTAATTCAATAAATAAATGAAAACAATTTTTAAAAGAGATTTTCAGAGTAGTCTCTCTCTCTCTCTCTCACTCACTCACTCACTTACTCTCTCTCTCTCTCTCTCTCTCACTCACTCACTTACTCTCTCTCTCTCTCTCTCTCTCACTCTCTCTCATCACACAAATTTTATTAAACTTTCCCGTAAAAATGCCTCACATTTTATTTACTAGTTAGTATTGAGTAGTGTTTTATATGGGAATAATTTTTAAAAAATATTTCTATCTACTGTATATACGGTCTCTCACTCACTTACTCTCTCTCTCTCTCTCTCTCTCACTCTCTCTCTCTCACTCTCTCTCTCTCACTCTCTCTCTCTCCCCGTTGTTTGAGTAGAATATAGGCATAAATACTATTATATATAATACACAACACATTATGTCTTTCTTACAAATTATTTATGAAATCACTTGCATTTTCATCGCTAGAGTGATGGAAATGAGTGCTTAGAATATATGCTCAAAGTAATGCTCGCTTTCGTACCGTAAAGGTTGAGATGATTTTCATATTTATGCACTTCTTTATGTCAAACTATAATATCCATGAAATAAATTTTTGCTTCAAATGTTCAACAAAAATATAAATCTATTTCAATTAAAGTTAATTTGCTTTTATGTATATTGAATTATACTGTAGTTAAAATATTATAAATAGAGAATGAGTCCTAAAGTTATTGTAATTTTTAAGTGAAATTTTTATAAATAAATTGTTAACGTCTGAATAAAATGTGAATTGAATTTAGATGTTGAATAAGTTTAAGTAAATCATAAACTGATTCAGATTCAATATTAAATAGTAATTGGAAACATATTTTTTATTTAAAGTACATTATAATGCCATAAGTCTGGTTTTATTTTTCACTGCATTAATGGTACAGTATATGGTATACAGTAATACCAATAATATCTTAAATGATTTACATCATATAAATTATTGCCGATTTAGTTGACTTATACTACATTGTTAAAGCATTAAGCATTATGATTGCTAAAAATATAATCAATATAACATAGCTTCTTTATATGTGATAAAGCATATTGACCCTGCAAATAAAATTATGAAATACTTATGAGATGAACACATTAAATATTAATTACTTTGGATTGAATTTGAAACATTAATTTCATTGCTAACCAACAAATCCTCTAATGATTTATATATGTTTTAATTACAGTGAGTGAGCCCTCAAAGAGAGAGACGATTGTCAGCAATAAATCGGATTCCGTGGACGTGAGTGACGCCAGTTGTCAGGTATGTCAGCCCTCCCACCCCTATATCCCACTCTTATTGTCTAAGAAATCACAGCTATTTTAATAGCAAACTCTGATCGATTAGACAATACTTACCTATCGATACAAAAAATATATTAGTTTTATGTTATTTCTAGATTGAAAAAATATCCGGAATATTTTGTAGTTCCTGAGCATTTTATAATGTCTAAATTATTAATTTTTAAATTATAAAATATTTATTATTTACTAGTACTAATATATTTTCTATTGATCATCTAACTCAAATAATTATTTAACCTTATCCATTAGTGGTATATGTATAAAACTGGACAGGGATGTAATAGATACATGTGCTCATTGCAGGCCAACATAACGTACGAAGTGATAACATACGACTCGGACGATGAGATGGTGAAAAGCCGTCGGGAAATACCGTTTGGAGGGCTTCGCAACAAAAAGGGTCACCCGATATACTCTCGGGAAGACATACGGGAACAGTACTGTATCACTAGGAAGGAGTTGGATGTGTTGGAGCAGAATCTGCGCGACTCGTCGGCCGCCCGTCTCTTCGGCTGCCTTTCGGCCAACCATTTGCCGGACAGTCAGTGCCAGAAGAGCTCGTTTCTGATGCTGTCGTGCGTTAATAAACGCAAGAACTCCGCAGATATTCCCAGAGATTTTGATCCAAGCAAACGGTCATTAATTTCATGCAAAATACAACTTTCCATAAGTTATTATTAAAAATAAAAAATATTTCGTTTTTAGACATTTAGATTAATTTTGTACATATTTTTGTAATTACGTGTTAACATCAAAATTAATTAACTAAATGATTATATTTTATATGATATGCTAATGAATATGCATTTCTAAGCAATTGTTTTGATAAAATATTATTAATTAATTAATAAGACATAATAAGTAAATGACAAATACTTTTGTTTTGTGTTAAATCTGCCAAAGAATTGATTATTTTATCCGATAATAATGAACGCCATGTATTGGATAGGGAATGGAGTATTAAGGAAAGGCATCACATATTTGCTTGTATTGCACGGAAGTGTCATTTGGGGCACTAATGAACGCTAAGACAAACGCAATGCGTTTTGTGTTGCGAAACGACTTTACTTTGTGAACACAAATGAGACCCTAATCTATAAATTGAATCCTATTTAGACATGTATTTAGACATGCATTTAGACATATATTTTTAGTTTTCACAAAAATACATATCACATAAATATAAATTAATGACAATATATTGATAAATCTGATGATAACGCTATAGTTTGCAACACTTGAACACTGCGACCATTGGCGGCAATGTTGGAGAGGATGAGGAGGACAGTGATGGAGGGTTTAGACAATACGT